GGGACTGCAGCATGGCCATCTTCCCGGGAAGTAATTTCTCGCTTTCTGTCTCTTTAGTGAGCACATGCACCCTATAGCAAAAATCTCTCTCTAAAAAAATAAATAAGATATATCAGGTATATGAAGTAATGTAATGGTTAAGGTGCTGGACTTCCACAGGGTGAAGCACAGTTCAAGTCCTGGACCCACTGGTTTGAAGGTCATGCCAGGCACATATGTGTATGCATGCCAAAACTCCCAGGGGAATAGTGGTGGAGAAGGGGTTACAGCATGGCCATCCCCCCTGGGGGTGAGGGGTGATTTCTCACTTACTCTCTCTGTGTCTCTCTCTGTCTCTCTCCAGTCAGCATACTCACCCTATGGCAAAAACTTAAAAAATGAAATAAGATATACCAATACAACAACAAAAAAAATTTAATTTATCTTCTTTTCAGATATTAAAATGTTGACTTATTCTACTGTATACTTCAAGACAATTTTATCTCCTTTGACAGTGAAAAATAAAAATGTGAACATTACAAAAGTTATCAGGACCAGCCCCACAGCCTAGTGGTTAAGGGATCTGGGAACCACATGGCCAACTACAGTTTAAATCTTGCCCTAGTGGCTTGAAAAACATTCCAAGCATATGTATGTGCTTACATGCCCAAAATCCTAACACGATGAAAAAACAGAGGAGAAGGGACTGCAGCATGACCACAACCCATTGGGGATTGTTCTCTCTCTCTCTCTTTCTCTCTCTCTCTCTGGTGAGTACATGTGTTCTTTGACAATTAAAAAAAAAATGAAATAGGGAAAAAAATGACCAAACTCTAGGCATTTTATTATATTTAAATACTAAACTCTGCTTCTTTTAGGTAGCCACAACAAACAGTAGTAGTGGGCCTTAATCACTGCTTGCTAACCAAAACTATACTGAGATCATCCAAACAGGATATAAAGAATTAAAGGAAATATAAGCCAATTTAGAAAACAGCTATTTGTCTTTTCCTGTCATATCTCTGAAAAGTTTGGCCTCAAAGTGCCTCTCTAAATATTTTGAGTTTGACCTGAAGATTCAGTGGGCTGTAACCTGACTTGATGTGTAAACAGATTGTAACCTTCTCTTGTACCAAGCAGCTGAGTCTGAGCCAATCACAGAAGCCGAGTTTCAGTAAATCACAAGTACCCAACTGTTGAAATCATGTTCAAAAAAGTCAAATGCCCCAGAGTTGTGACCAGTCCAGCTGTTTTGGTACTTTACTCCCATTTGCTATATGTCACTTTATTTTTCTATCCTTATATAAGTATTACCTGACCATGCAGTAGTTCTAGAGTCCTTCTGAGCTTCTTCTGGTTGTAGGGACTGCCCAATTCATAAATCACTATTTCTCAGTTAAACTATGTTAAATTAAATTTGTCTGAAGTTTTTCTTTGAATGTTATTAAACTTCCTCTTAAAAATTATAATTTGGGCCTGCCAGTTGGTAGTTAAGGTGCCTGGATCCCACATGGCTGGCTATGTGGCTCAAGTCCCAGACCCAGGGGCTTGCCAGGCGTGTGGGTGTCTGCATGCTCAAAATCCTGAGTAGAGAATGGAGAAAGGATTGCAGTATGACCATCACCCACGGGTGGTGCTTTCTGACTTTCCATCTCTCTCTCTCTCTCTCTGTCTCTCTCAGGTGAGTATACAAGCCCTGTAGCAAAATAATAATAGTAATTTGTCATCTAGCAGTCTTTCCTTTGTGGGAGTGTTTATTACCTTTACTATGAGAAATAAGGCCTATCAAAGTTATGCAGTAAAGATCTATAATACAAAGCTTCTAGTGGGCATCCTCCCCTAGATACTCCCCTAGATGTAATTTAAGAACCTATATGAATCCAATACATAAATCTTTTTTTTTTTTCTTTTTTGGAGAGGTTTTTCCTATAGGGCATGTGCGCTAGTCAGAAAGACAGAGAGAGACAGAGAGACAGAATGGGCACACCGCAATCCCTTCTCCTCCATTCTCCTCTCGGCATCTTGGGCACACACACACATACGTCTGGCGTGAGTTTAAGCCACCAGGTCTGGGACTCAAACTGCGGTCGACTACATGGGAGTCCAGCAACATAGCCATTACGCCAACTGCTGGTCCCCTCCAATACATAATTCTTATACCTACACTCTATTCCTTAAGTGACCCATCTAGAACTGACAGGGCCATGCAGACAACACAAGCTGGTAAAGAGGCTGCCTCCGATTCTAAGGCAAGGCCTGGACTGGGAAGAAACTATGAGTCAAGGCCCAGTTTATGAGCCCTTCCTTGTGTCGTACTGGCTGGTACTCAATTTTTCTGCCGTGAGCTTTACTGTTATTACGGTACCCTGCAAGGGTAAAATATCGCCCCCAACCATTATAATAAAGCCAATTAGTGATCTTGTAGGAATGTGGTTTCCTAAGGTGGGCACTCAAGGGCCAGGAAGTTTGAGACTCCCCCACCTGTCTGTTTTAAGCCAAAATTAACATATAGGTTAAGTTAGTATAAACCAAATTAGCATTAGAAGCATATGTAGGCTAAGTTAGTTTAAGGCTAGTTTTATATAAATAGCCCTTGTTAAAGCTACAGGCCAAAGTTAACAAACGCTAGGCAAAGTCAGCACAGTCACCACTTAACAGGGATCCAGAGATAAAACAAAAGAACTCACCAATTGACAGACTCAGCAAACAACATACAGAAACCTGCAGGTTTATAAAGAAAGGAAAAAGCCTGGCTGGCGACAACAGGATGAACAAATCTGAAGGCTCCAGGGAAAGATTATCTTAGCTGGGAGCTCTTATCTAAAGCAACAGGTAGTTTTCAACTACAAAGAGTTTCTCATCTATGTGCTGTTGACTATAAAAAACTGCTAATAAAACAACCTGTGTTGCCTCCTGAGCTACAAGATCATCTTCCTTTCCCATACAGGTAATAGGCCCACCTTCTTTAGCTGTAATATAGATAGTCCATATATTAACTATGTCTTTACTTAACAAGACAAGATTTCTATCTAGGCCTTTGTAACCAGCAATGTTGCCGCCCTGTCCCGGGACTGAAGTTATCAAGCTGACCTGGGACTGAAGTTACCAAACTTCCTGCAACCCCCCTCTTCGAAAGACTCTTCCCAGTAATCAAGATCTAAGAAGAAAATACAACAGACAAATGAACTTCCTCATCCTGAGAACTGTGATTGATTTTACCTGATCTGACAAGACAAACAGCATGTTTCATAATTATTGTTTCCATGCTTTGTATACCTTGTTCCTTAGAGTAAAATTTTTACTACCCTTCACCCCCCCTTACTTCCTAAACATCCCTCAATAAATACGTATGTTTTAATAGCCACTGCGCAGCAGCCTGGAGCTGGCTGAGAACATGCTAAGAGGCAATGAGGTCTTAGTCTAATTTTTTGTTCTTGATCACTCGTGTTGCCTTCCTATGTATGAGTCACCCACCACTGCCAAGGCTGGACCCCAGCATAGAACTGCAAGGACAAAAACAGTAGCCAGCTAATGAACAAATAAAATGTGGCAACAACAAACAAGAAGCTGAATTTTTCATCTTAATCAACTTGTACCTTAAAATACATTTCAACTATTGGAGTTTTAAATGTGTTTGGAATAACTTGGTATATAAATCTACTTTGTAACAGGTTGATTTTTATAAACTATACAGATCAAGTATTTCCAATGAAGGGCTGGCTGTATTTAAGTGCTATGCATTGGGGAGCTGGATCCCACATGGCCAACTGTAGTTTTGGATCCCAGTCAGAGTGGCTTGAAAAACACATTAGGTATGTATGTGTGTGCCAGGATGAAAAAATAGAGGAAAAAGGACTGTAGTATGATCATGCACCATTAGGGGGAGGCAAGATTTTTCTCTCTCTGCCTCCCTGGTACGTATGTATGTATGTATGTATGTATGTGTGTGTGTGTGTGTGTGTGTGTGTACATATATAGTAGTGCTTCAACCACCATGCCACCTACTGGCCCCACAAGTCTGTATTTCTACATTTTACATATCTCTATTATGACTCTAAATTTTCATTTTATACATATATAATTTTCATTTTATGTATATAAAATGTTCATTTTTCACTTTATATATATACATAGTTTTTAATTTATATATATCTCATTTTCATATACATATATATGTATGTGTGTGTATATATTGGTCGAGGCGCTGGACTCCCATAAGGCCAACTGTGTTTTGAGTCCTGGACCTGCAGCTTAAAAATCATGCCAGGTACCCGAGAAGAGAATGGAGAAGAAGGGATTGTGGCACAGCCAAGGTCCCTAGGCGGTGAGTTCTCATTTTCCCTCTCTCTGTCTCTGTCTCTGTCTCTGTCTCTCTCTCTCTCTCTCTCTCAGATGAGTACACCAGCCCTATGGTAAAAACATAAAACAAGGAGACTAGCACATGGCATAATGAGTATGTCATTGGACTCCCACATAGTAGACTACAGTTCGAGTCCCAGACCCAGCAGTTTAAAACTCACATAAGGCATGCATGAGTGTGTGTGTGCCCAAGATCTCAAGAGGAGAAGGGACTGTGGTGTGCCCTTCCCCCCCCCCAGGGGGGGGAGGTAATTTCTCACTTTCTCTCTCTCTCTGGCAAGCTCATGTACCCTATAGCAAAACTCTCTCTTAAAAATAAAAAAATTAAAACAAAAAATACAGACTGGTTTCAAAGACTTAATACCAAAAATAGATAAATAAAATAGTTTACTAATAATTTTTATACTGATTACAGTGAATAAATACACCAATTACAATGAATCCAAAAGTGATATTTTTGGATTCACGATTTTAAATAAAATATACTATTTAAGTTAATCTCATGGGGTTTTTTTTCTACTTTTTCTAAACTGGAAAAATTTTAAGGACATATATGGCATAATTTTATTTCTACTGGACAACATTGTTCTATAGCTTACATAGCTAATACAAATTAGAGATATCAATATGATATATTATTAATATTTCAAACAACATCTGACCTTTTCACTTGATTGTCTTCTTTTCTTTAGTTGAATGAAATCTGTTTCCACCCTTTCTGCCAGCTCTAGTTTCCTCTTGTTTCTCTTAAATGCAGCTAAACTGAATCCTATAAAAGAAACATTAAAATAACATTTAAGAAATATTAGGGGAATGGGACAAGTGAGAAAGCCTGAAGAGGCTTCCCAGAACAAAATTAAGAATGCTGAAATTAAGAGTTAAAAGGTCTTTTCAATGTACATTGAGGTAGTAAATGAGAAACAACCTACAGTTTAAAAAATTAAGAAATTAGAGCCAGCAGGTGGCATGGTGGTTAAGGTACTAAACTCCCACATGGTTGCCATAACTCAAGTCCCAGACCTGGCAGCTTGCTTTCTCACTTTCTCGCTCTTTCTCTCTTTCTCTGGTGAACACATGTACCCTATAGCAAGTTAAATAATAAGAATAATAAGAATAATAAATAAAATAATAATTTTTTAAAAACGTAAGAAATATATCAAACCCAAAGAGACAAGTGAGTCCTGAAGACAGACATCTCTGAAGGGCAGCTGCTGATACATACCACCTTCAACTGTGGTCTTGAAGGTCTCTATGCATAGGGTACTTGGGGACGATACAGCATCAAAAATATATTTGAGATTATCCTCAAAAGAATGATGGAACCCCAGAAGCTGATATGCCCAGTGAAATGGAGAATAAGAAAAGGCCACCATACACAAAGAAAAAGGAAATTTGTAAGTCTCAGCCTTCGTTCCAGATGTAAAGGAGGAAAAGTCTCTCTAGAAAATTCCTAATTAAAAAAGACAGTGAGGCAGTCTTAGAGGAGAACTCATATTATTAGTGTGACCTAAAAAGAAAGAGAAAAGTGATCTCAATGTGGCAGTGAGTCAAAAGACTTACAAGGCCAACCCCTTCACACAGCAGTCAGGAGCTATTTAAAGCAAACAGGATCCTACACGGCTGACCTGGGTTTGAAACCTGGCCCCCCAGTCAAAAGCTCTTCAGAGAAAGCAGGATCCTATATAGCTGCCCAGGATTCGAATCCTAGCCCCATTAGCTTCATGCTGGGCTCACATCACATACACTTGCCCAGGCTCCTGATAGGATGGAATATTGGAGGGAAAAGGATAAGGCATAACTAAGCCCCATTAGAGAATTCTCTCATTCTCTCTCTCTTCTTCTCTCTCCATTAGAAGATGCGCTCTCTCTCTCTGACACATGCACACACACACACTCTCTCTAGTATGAAAAAATAAATAAATAAACTCTAGAAAAATTTTGAAAAAATGACCTCCAAACACAACTGCAATACTCCGTGGAAAAACACACAAACCTTAACTTACCCAGATCTCAAGAGTTCCCCATTTCAATTAACATATGCCCACAGTTTCAAAAGAAAAATCCAAAACACATGAGAAATAAACCACCAAGAATAAAACAATTCAGTCAACCAAATATCAGACAGTATAATCCCACACTGGAGTATAGAATAATCAGATATAGGATGTAACACATGTTTATGCTCAGAGAAAGAAAAGGAAAATACCAGCAGTATGACTAAGGAGCAAAAGATAAAATGACTGAGACTTAAAGAAAAACTAAATAGTATGTGTGTGTGTATGTGTGTGAAATATAGTAGTGACAGTTATCAGTTTGATTTGCTTCTTTCTGTATTAACAGAAATACTGAAATATATAGCATTGTGTTTTTTGTAAGTTTTAGATTAAAAATATGTTATACCATCTATAGTAAGTTCTTAGATAAGTAATGTGAAAATAGAGTATTTTTCATTTATATCAGCAAAATACATTTTGAAATAAGTTCAGGTTGACACACATAAATTGGTTAATATTTAAATTGCTGAATAGCATTATACCATATTTAATAGCTATTTCTTTTTTTACTGGTAGCATCAGAATTGTTTCTAGGTCTTGCCATTAACACTGATGATTCTACAAGTATTCTGGTACACCTGACTTTACACAATAAGACTTCAAAAAGTATGTGGAAAGTGGAATTGAAATATGACTTCATTTTGTTACAAAAAAGTTTTAATTTCTTACATGTTTTTATCATAACATACGTTTTCCATGAACTTTCTAAAGACCTCAATGAGTTTTATTGGAGTACACTGTGTTGTACTTCTTACACAATGTATCTACATAGTAGTCAGAAATAAAATAGGAACAGAAACGTGAAAGGGTACTATACCCAGCAAGATTATGCTATATATGGGGAAAAAAAGACAAAAATACTCTCAGATAAACAAAACCTGAAAGAATTTACCAACAAGTGCTGAAGGGAGTGCTATATACCAGGAAACTAAAGTCAGACACACAGAAATAAGAGTATAAGAAACAACCAAGAGAATGGCCAGCCTAATGAAAGGGACAAGTCCAGAGTTGAATGTAACTTTCAGAGCTTAAATGGAAAGATCAGACTACAGTAGCACTGCAAATTCAATAGAAGAAAGATTAATTACATGAGTCTGAACTAGTGAAATAGAATTTTTTGACTTTGGACTGAAACATTGCTGATTTTCTTTGATGCTTTTATTTCCATATTTAAGGATTTTTGTCTTCTCTTGAACTAATGATAGGTTCATCTACCTACTATCTGAAATGAATTCTAACCTTTTTCCTGGCTTTAAGTTTTAAGTAAATTTCTCCTAACATTTTTTGATTTTTATCTATTAAAACTAAAACTGGTTTTCTTGAAATAAAAAAATGCATTAAAAAATATCTATTAATACCTATTTAATGACTTCAGTAAACGATATAGCCCCAGTGAGGTTCTACTTTACAGTATGTTCACTTCACTCACTGAGGTTTATGGCTAAAGTCAGACATACACTCATAGATATGTATATATCAGCTGTGCTTGCTATTGAAAGTTTTAAATTAAGATCTGTAGTGAATAAACAAAACGTGAAAGATATGGAAGACAACTGTAGATACCAAAAACAGTGTGGGAGAAGGGGAGAACTGGCAGAGGGTGAGAGGTAAGAAATCAAGGGGGTGGGGGAACATATAAGAAACAAGAAATAGAAAATTATTTGTTGACGATGACATGTACAGTAATATCCTTGATTGAGCCAATATACATGTGTGTATTCTAGATGGAAAACATCATTTTGTATACTGTATTGATATATAGGGAATGACTGTAAGTAAGTAAGTAAATAAATAAATAAATAAATAAATAAATAACAAAGATTTTTAAGATAAACCTTAGGACATTCTAAAATCTTTGGAAAACTTGAGGTGGTTAAAAACCTAGATACTATGAGCCAGCCCCATAGCACAGTTAGTAGGTGCTACAGTACAGAGGGAGCCAGATCCCATATGGCCAACCTAGGTTCCAATCCCAGCCCTAGTTGCAACACCTTAAGACACCGAGAGCACAAACATACATGCCCAGGATCCTGACAGGATGGAGATATGGAAGAAAAAGGATTATAACATGCCCAGGCCCCATTGAAGGGGTGGTGTCTTTTCTTTTTGTCTCTCTGATATATTCATGTGCCCTCTAGCATAAAGAGAGTAAGAGACAGAGAGACAGAGAGAGACAGACAGTTAAGAGGAAAAAGCTCTACAAATTATGTCCCATAAAAAAATAATCTGGCATAAAGCATATCATTATCTAACACCAATACACAATCTCATTTCACTGATTAGACAAGTGACTTAGTGTAGATTGGCATCTATTTTTAGTCTACATAATTGCAGTAATTTCTCCTTTTAAATTTATCATAGGTAAATACTATCTTTTTTTTTTTTGCAAATACCTTAGCTTTCAATTTTTTGCTGGCTGGTTACATATTGAAATCATAATTTTTTCTTGTTATGAACATAAAATACTAATGTATAATCAAAAATATTTTTGTTCTGCAAAATATAGCCATAGCCATTTTATAATACCATTTTACATATATGTTTGGAAGTAAGGTTGGCAAATAAAACACGTGAGTTTATCTCCACACTCTATTAAAACTCTACAAAAAAGAAATTTAGAGAAAAAAACATTTAAAAGCACAAAGAATGTAAAGTAGGGATAATGATGATCATAAGTGCTTATCAACATAATTTTAGAAAACACAAAGCAGGTAGACAAACAGTAGCTATTAGAGCAGAGGAAGATGAATTTTGATGCTGATATACAAGACACCACAAAGCAAACTAACCTCTGCCAAAATGAAGTAATTCCTGCAACAGGAGCATAATAAAAACTCAAGAGAGAAAGTACCTATTACGTCTAAAAGCTAGACTGGTTTAAAAACAGGAGAACAGGCAGACAGTGTGTCATGAGAAAAACCAAGGTGTCCAAATCCTCTCCTCATGCTTACAGAAAACAAGCAGTTTACTTGAGAAATAATGAACCAGATGACCTCCAAATTAGTGAACCTGGGGCACAGACAGAGGCTGAAATCAGATACTTCTCCCTCTCATACTTTTGCTATATAAACAGAAATTTACATAAAAGTCTGAACAAAGAAAGGTGAGATCTCCAACATTATTTATTGTTCTGCAATCAGAATATTGACAGTTGCCTTGCCAGGGTTGGGAAGAGCCTTCTCTGACTGATCCAGGAAAAAAAAAAAAAAAAGATAAAACCGGTAGATATAAGATTTTCTTGGGAAAACACTTGGAAGACCCCCAATAGACTGCTGTGCCGCCATCTGGCCCCACACAAACCATCTTCATGTTAAAAAGACCTGCCAAAAAAAGAGCTAGAAAATAGCTTCTTAGTGTCTTTCAGAAATACAAAAATAGCAGAGAGCCACTTGATACTGGAGAAATCTGCCAACATGTATTTGGTTACAAACAAACCAGAAGACAGAAGAAGCAGAAACAAGATAAGCAGATAAATCATAATACCCTAAGAAAAGTAAAGAGAAAACATTGCATTCTTAAAATAAGAAAGGATGAATTTTTTTAAACAGGTATTAATGAGAGATTATTTTCTAGAAATTTAAAATATGAAAGCCAATATTATAAATTCATCAGAAATGGAAGGCTTGGGAGATAAAATTAGAAATATTCCCAAGAAAATAGAACAAAGGATAAACTGTTTTAAAGAAAAAAATAATTTTGAAAAAGAGTACAAAATAGGGGCCAGCACCATAGCCTAATAGTTAAGCAGCCCAATCTCAAAGGGTCAACCATGATTCAAATCCTGACTCAGCAGCCTGAAAACCACACTGAGCACAAGTGCGTGCATACCCAAAATCCCAACAGAATGGAGAAATGGAAGAGAAGGGACTGTGATGCTACTGTGTCCTATTGAAGAAGTGCCTCTCTCTCTCTCTGAAGAGCACACATACCCTCTGACAATTAAAAAATATTAAAAATTTTGAAAGCACAAAATGAGTATCCAGCATAAGGGATGAAAAAAAATTGAAAATTCAAGATGCTTTACTGCAATAATTAAACCACTGTAATTAAAAGTGTCCTTCCAAAAAAGGAAAAATATACCAGGAAAACTGAGAGTGTTGCAAAATAGCAAAAATTGGAAACCATATAAGAGAACTTCTTAAAAATAAATAAATAAATAAAAACAAGAGAACTTCTTCAAAAACTTAAGAGAAAATTATTTCCAGTCTCGCGTGTACCAAAGAGGGAGTAAAACAAGGAAATAAAACAAAATATGAGCTCTAGGAAACAATGCAGTACTGAAGAAAGGTAAAGGGAATTCCAAAGTAAAAAGAGGTGAAGTCCAGGATGACAACTATGCAGCAGACTTAGTAAGATTCTAAAATAAGGTGCCAGGTGGCATGTTTCCAAGACACAAAAAATGGAACTGGCAGAATGATTGATTTGTTTGTCTGATACAAGAATTCTAAAATAAGTTCAGTTGAAAAGATTTTAAGGCAGAATAGTGATAGGGACTATGAGAATTTAGAATTCTTAGATTTCTGCTTCACTATCACATACACATTTCCCTTTAGCCTCCCTATATTACCTGTTGGCTATGTGAATTATCTCAGTCTAATTAGAATGGCTATGATTGATTTATTAATTAATAACAAATGCTGGTGAGGATGCAGAGAATAGGGTACTGTTCTACACTGTGGAGGAATGTAAATTAGTATAACCATTATGGAACACAATAAGGAATACTATGGTTTAGATAATAATTTGTACCCCAAAGGTTCATGTTTGAGAATTTGACCCCCACTCTAATGGCACTGGGAAGTGGTGAGACCTTTAAAAGGTGAGGCCTAGTTGGAGGTATCTGCATCATGGAGGTATCACCCTCATAAACAAAGTAATGCTGTTTCAAAAAAAAAAAAAAAAGAGTGAATCCCCCCCCCCATAAAAAAGTATTAAAAAAAAAAAAAAAAAGATAACTGCCACTAAGGTCTCTCTTTGCACACATCCATAATTTTCTCTGCTTCCATCAGCCATATTGTAATGTGGCAGCAGAGATCAGCCTGATGCCAACTACAAGACTTTAAACTTTACAATCACTGGAAATGAAAGCCAAGTAAACCTCTATTCTTTATAAATCACCTGGTCTCAGTCCTATTAGTAATACGAAGCTACTTGATACTCAAAAAGTGAAAAGCAGAACTGCTATATGATCCAGCAGCCCCAAAACTAAGCATATATCCAGAGGAAAGGAAATCAGTATGTCATAGAGGAGAGAGAGAAGGGGGGGGGGCCAGGTTCAGAGAGGGGGAGAAGAAAACATAGGTAAACATTTAACTGTCTTTGAGCTGAGGAGGGACATTTTAAAAAAATTTGCTATAGGGCACAAGTGCTTGTCAGAGAGTACGAGAGAGAGAGAGAGAGAGAGAGAAAGAGAGAGAGAGAAAGAGTGAAAAAGCTTACCCTAGGGGGATGACCATGCTGTAGTCCCTTCTTCTTCATTCTCTTGGGATTTTGGGCATGTATGCACTGTGCTAGTGTAATTTTCAAGCTGCAGGTTGTGAGACTTGAATTGTGCAGTTGGCCATGTGGGACCTAGATGCCTTAAACACCATAAAAACCAACTGTCCTAAGAAAGGATTTTTTTAGGTGCAAGTTAAAGTGAAGAAAAAAACAAAGATGTAACTACGTAAGAGTTGAAACTGAGAGACACTTGTCATATATATGATGAGGTATGCAGCCTTAATCTATGAAAAAGTTTACCAAGTTAAAAATGACACATACATAAGTAATAGCCCAATAGGAAAATGGTCAAGAATCATTAAGTAGATACTATAACGAATAGGAAAATTTATATTCAGATGAATTCATGTTAAATCTGTTCCTTTTTCATTTGTGAAAGAGTTAAAAATGTTATATTAATCTTGGTGGGTATGTAGTAAAATTAACATAATATACTGTAGGTACAAATGTAATTGACTGATAGTAATCTTGCCAACTCTTTATTAATAGTTTCCCAGTATCAGTGGGAACATGTCATGCTCTTTCTGTGCCAGGGTTATTTCACTCAGCATAATATCTCTCCTGTAGTTTTATCATTACTAAATATTTTAAATAAACTGAAAGGAATCCGTTAGTAATAGTTACATAAAAGCATGAGAAAGCAGCAAGAATATCTCAGGAATAGAAAGGAGTCTTAAAATCAAATAATTTCCTATATGTCTTTTAACTGCAAATAAAAGGAAACTTTGAAGTTTCATGGAAATATGGGACCAACAGTTAGCTTAATGGACTCCCATGTAGTCGACTGCGGTTCGAGTCCCGGACCTGGTGGCTTAAAACTCATGCAGGGAGCGTGTGCGTGCGTGCCCAAGATCCTGAGAGGAGAATGGAAGAGAAGGGATTGCGGCGTGACCATCCCCCCGGGGGGTGATTTCTCACTTTCTGTCTCTCTGGCGAGCGCACGTGCCCTATAGCAAAAACCTCTCAAAAAAAAAAAAAAACAAAAAACAAAAAAAAAAACAAAGAAGTTTCATGGAAATATGGAGTGAAAATATAAGTTTGTTGTGGTGCAAAAAAAATCTGATATCTAGCATAGTTTTTTAATAATATGCATTTTCCATTTGGAAGACCTCTTATATTTAAACAATAAGCTTTCTTCCTGAAATATCTGTAATACATAGGTCATAACAGATGCAACACAACACTTTCAGGTATATATGCTCATACAGTTTAATTTTTGAAACATTTTTACTCACTTGTGGTCATGATGTTAGGAGGGCAAGAAGGTATTCCATGATCTACTGCCCATCTGTAGGCTCCTTCTCCAACTAAAAAGCTAACAACAAAAAAATTATATTTTTTAAATTCAGTGTCACATTCTCCTGCATATTTAATAAAGTAATACTTTCCATATTACTAATATTATGGAAATGCAATTTTAAAATGGTCTGTAAAAGATTTACTCTTTTTAGTAAAATGAGTGTATGTTCAAAAGTTCCATAAAATTATTATCCATATAGAAGTATCACAATTGGGAATGTTACAATATCATTAGCAATGACTTAACAAGTAAAATTTGGAAACACTCAGCTGAATAGAAAGTAACAATAGTTGACTTCCCAATTGAAAATATTAAGATTTATCTTGAATCAACATGATATGATTCTCCTCAGTTTATGTCACAAGACCTAATCAGGTTAACAGTCTAAGTTTAAACTAATGTCTTCAGATCTGGTAATATTGTCTCCAATATCTGGATTCACCCAAAATAAGTAGTATGCATTAGAGGCGCCCAAACACAAGATATGTTTATATTTCTAAGAATTGATGCAACAAAAATATATACTACACATAAGTTTCAGAATCATTTTTATTGTAGTATGTCCCAAAGTAGTTTTTAAGTCTCTTAATATAGTGAATAAAAGGATACTGCTAGCTAACTATAAAAGACTTCTTTTCAAAGAACACAAATAGCATGCAGGAAAATTAACTATACCATTCCCTAAGTAATTTAATTAAACAATAGCAAGCAGTTTCCAGAATAATCAATCATTTCATCATCTTCCACAGCTAACTTCTTAAAGATCTAAGCCAATCTGTAATAGATTTGTTGAACTTGTGCCTATCTGTCTACCATTCCCTACTTTTTGTTTCTGTTCTAATTATTCTCACACTAGAAATTCAAGGTGACACATATTGAAAATCTAATATTCAAGTGTTAATAAAACCAGTGACAGATTGGCAAAACAAAATCAAAGTAGATGATGAGAAATACATCCAATTGGTTCTTACAAGAAACTAAATAGTTAATCCCAGTAACTGGTTTCCAAAATACGTGTAAAGGTGGAGATAGAAGGAGCATTAAAAAAAGAGAAGATGGGATCAGTAGTTGGCACAATAGCAATGTAGCTGGACTCCCATGTAGTCAACTGTAATTCGAGTCCCAGACCCAGTGGCTTAAACTCATGTCGGGCATGTGCGTGAGCATGCCCAAGATCCTGAGGGGAGACTGGAGGAGAAGGGATTGCGGCATAGCCATCCCCCATGGGGGTGATCTAAAGTGTTATAAAACAAAAAGTAACACTCTGCTGATAACCTGCACTAAGGTGGGATGATTAAAACTTTCAGTAACCTGAGTGGCAGGCAAGTGGTGTTGCCAGGGCTCGCAGAGCAAAACACCTGAAATGGGCTACCTGGGAAAATACAGCAACATGAATTACAATCTTATAGATGGTCTAATAATGTATAATTTAGTGGTTTAGAAACTCTCAAGGATTCTCAGGGACCCCAACAATGAAATCTACATTATTCCAGTAAGAAACATAGGTGAATCCTCCCCAGGGGATGATTTCTCACATTCTCTAGTCCCAGACCCAGTGGCTTAAACTCATGTCGGGCATGTGCGTGAGCATGCCCAAGATCCTGAGGGGAGACTGGAGGAGAAGGGATTGCGGCATAGCCATCCCCCATGGGGGTGATCTAAAGTGTTATAAAACAAAAAGTAACACTCTGCTGATAACCTGCACTAAGGTGGGATGATTAAAACTTTCAGTAACCTGAGTGGCAGGCAAGTGGTGTTGCCAGGGCTCGCAGAGCAAAACACCTGAAATGGGCTACCTGGGAAAATACAGCAACATGAATTACAATCTTATAGATGGTCTAATAATGTATAATTTAGTGGTTTAGAAACTCTCAAGGATTCTCAGGGACCCCAACAATGAAATCTACATTATTCCAGTAAGAAACATAGGTGAATCCTCCCCAGGGGATGATTTCTCACATTCTCTTTCTCTGTCTTTTCTCTCTCTAGTGAGTACATGCATCCCATAGAAATAAAAATAAATAAATAAAAAGCTTTGAAAAAAAGGAAAGAAAGGGAACCAGCAGTTAGCGTAATGGCTATGTCGCTGGACTCCCACGTAGTCGACCGCAGTTCGTGTCCCGGACCTGGTGGCTTAAAACTCACGCCGGGCGCGTGTGCGTGCGTGCCCAAGATCCCGAGAGGAGAATGGAGGAGAAGGGATTGCGGCGTGAACATCCCCCCTGGGGGGTAATTTCTCACTTTCTGTCTCTATGTCTCTCTCTGTCTGTCTGGCGAGCACACGCGCCCTACAGTGAAAATCTCTCCAAAAAAAAAAAAAGGAAAGAAAGAAAAATAAGTGGAAATGATAGATACTTTGTGGACTTAGAAACTGATTTCTATTATTTATAACACTTCCTTGCTCATTGTAAATATACAAAATAGAAGAAAAACAATTTGGGCGACAGATTATTTAAAGTTCAAATGCATATAAAGTGCAAATCAAAAAGAATTTGCTATATTTGGAATCAGGACCAGCCTTGGCAGTGCAGTCAATAGTGTATGATCTACAGTGCTGGACAACACATGGCCAACCACAGGTTCAAATCCTAAGTCAACCTGAAACATACTGGGCACATATGCTGAAGATCTCAACTAATTGGAGGGTTGGAAAAGGGAGATCATGAAGTGGTGAGACCCTATCAGGGATACATACTTCCTCTGTCTCTGTTTTTCTCTCTGGCTCACACATAGAAGAAATAAAATTAAACATAAGTAAATAGAGAGACAGTAAGGCATTGGGCTTTTTGGCTGAGTCTTTTCACTCCGCAGATTCCAAAGCCAGGCCCTCTGCAGGTTCCAGAGACAGGAAGAAAGCAGTAGGGTCATGGAATCTCACCCCATACTCCTGCAAGAACTTGCACAGCTCCCAGGAACAGTAAGGCATCTAGACCATTTGGCTAGGTCTTCTACCACCAGCCAGGCGCTATGCAGGTCCCAGAGTCAAAGAGGAACAGGTTCATCATGCCCATGCTCCAATGCATGACCTCACCTGTCACCTTAAGGTCAGTCTCCTCAAGTCACACTCAGCCACATCAGAATTAGAAAATTTGGGAAACAAGAGGGGAAGCAGTGTAAAATATACCACAAAGAAGTGACTAAGCAACAGTCCAAGAAACCTACCCTAAATCAGTAGGGAAAAGCAAGTGCCTCACCAGATACCCAGAAAACAAAGCAGAGCCTTAAGAAATAGAAGAAAATTAAGAAGTAGATCCCTCTCAAAAGAACACAGCAACTCCTCAGCAATTTTGAAACACACACATACATAAGAAATCCCAGTAAGAATAAAAATATAATTCAGAATATTCATTGTAACAAAACACAATTGGATACAAGAGAAAATTAACAACCAATTCCAAGAAATTAGAAAATCATTCTACAACATGAAGGAGAAAATCCATAAAGACATAGCCTAAAAAATCAAACAGAACAAACAGAACTTCTGGATATGAAGAATACAATGCAAGAAATCAAAATCTCCCTTGGAAGTACCAATAGCAGATTGGACTATGAAGAAAGAATCTCTGATCTGGAAAACAAAGCTTCTGACTTAATCTAAACCAGGAAAAAGAATGAAAAAAATAACCAGGAAAGGGGCTAATAGGTGGCATGGTGGTTAAGGCACTGGACTTCCCACATGGTTAATTGCAATTCTATTCTTGGTTCTGGTGGCTTGAAAATCACACCAGGTGCCTGTATGTGCTTGTCCAAAAATCCCAGGAGCAGAAGGAATTGCAGCATGGCAATCCTCCCTGGGGAGTGATTTCTCACTTTCCCTCTCTCTCTGTCTCTCTCCAGCAAGTACACATGCCCTATGGCAAAAACCTAAAAA